CCAACAAAAAACAAACGACAGAAAACAAAAAACTCTAAAAATATTCAGCATGTATTTTCTGAAATGTCTTTCTGACATGCTCGGGTAAATTCTGAGCAAAATTTTGCTCAAGATGATGTTCAGTTATCAGTTTTGAGATTTTTTCTAAATCTAGTGGAAAACAAAACGAAAAGTACACATTAGAAATAAAACAGATAAATCATAAATTCATCAGTATGTAATTACCTCGAATGCATAACGCTATTTCGTTTCCCGTTTTTGATTTTGATTCTTGATAAGATGTTAATAATGACGTTAATTGATCTAAAAATATTTAGATATCATTAAAAGAAAACAAATGAAGCAAAACTATATAATAAAAAAAAACGTAGATCTGTGAAAAACAAGTTCTAAATTTTTAACTGAAAATATCGCAGAGACTCATTTCGCAATTAGTTTCTTTGCGCGGAGGTTCAAACAAGAAAAGTACATTATTTTAAAGCAAAATAAGAAAACAAATCTAATTTTTCTACCTGTTACGGGAGTGTCTTTTACATCAGATACACATAGATTATCAAATACTTCTAAATATATTGTTTGAACATGTTTCGGCAGCTCTTTGCAATAATCACGAGTGAGATTATTAAAAACAATTAACTGGAGTAAATCACTAAGATCTGAAAACAATGTAAATAGTTTAAGGTTTGTAACTCCCATTTCCCAAATTCACCTTTTCCAGAAGCAGCCTTTTGCACAACATCACTCATAACACGTCTACCACAATATGCCAATAATTTTGTTTCCATTAACGCTAGAATGATAAAAGAAATGTAACTCAGTTATAGATAAGAACAACAAATCATTCAAATTTACCTGACAAATCACAAATGTTAGCCATTGTAAAACGTTTATCAATATGATCTTTAGGCAATGGGCCAAATTCCGGTGATTTTAGAATATCAATATGATATCTTGAATTTGATGCATCTTGTAACCGTACACAATCAGCGACGGCTGCCGATGTAGGAACAAAACCAAGTTCTTTTTGAATAACCTAAGAACATAAAAGGTGGCATAGTGTGATGTTCTGTCTGTCGTTAAATTTGTAATAATTCCTAACAGTAAACTTCAATATTTAACATAACCCCAAACTTACACTACATATTTGACTAAAATCATCACTTGATACCAAAAGATCAATATCCGTTGTTAAACGTTCATAATTATGGAAAAATAGTGCATATAACCACCAATAACAACATATGATAAATCATTGTCGACTAGAACATTGTGTATTCTTTGCATTAACACACGTAGCTCGCTTTTTTGTTCCATATCGAAGTACAATAAACTGTTCGATAATTGTTCAAATAAATAGTTTTTATTCATACAACTAGTATGTATATTTCTAAGTGACTAGAGATCTAGAACGAAGAAAATTAAAAAGAAATTCCGAGCGAAAAGTTATTTTATAGCTAAAATAATAGTCAGTCAAAAACTGACTTGAAAAACATACATATTTGTCAGTGATGAAAATGATATATGTAGAAATATTTGTTTATTTCATAGAAATGAAATAATGCTTAAAACTAAGACGATGACACATGAACGGCTTCTGTTTTCGTATTTTGAATTCTACTGTTTTAAAGATGTGAAAAGATGAGAGTAAATGGGTGTGCGCTGCACATGATGAAAGACTTTATATACGATTATGGTAAAACTTTAAAAAAAGAAAGAAAGAAAACCCTCACCAATCCGCAGGAAAACTTAGAAAGTAGTAGAATGAAAAAAGATTTGGCCTACACATTAGCAAAATCCAAGGTAGGAACATTCTCTTATTGAAATCTTACCAAAATCATCATCTAGTGGTATGGGTACTGATATAAAATCTTTTAATGTAATTTCTTCGGCATGAGCTTGGTGAAGTTGAAAACGGGATGGATCATCGATATAACTGAAAGATAGATAAAGGTATACTTATTAAAATGTTGTAGACATTAAAAATTGTTGAACATACTCTATATCCAGGTCAATCAGACCATCAAATTCATGGAAGTTTTCTGGTAGAGTAATAGCTGCAATTGATACTTCTCGTTGTTCTCCTTAGAGTCCATCTTGTGTTAAAGCTAAATTTCCATCTTGTCCACCGCCTCCAGCACTGTTCGTGCTGACAATACCCGGTCTAAATGCCATTTTAATTTTGATAAATGCTTCATTGCAATCAGCTAATAAATATTTTGTTTTACGAGAATAAATTCGAACAACTCCTAATAGTAAATGACCTTTCGTACGCAATGCCAGTTTCAACTATAAGAAACAATTAAGAGTATAAAAAAAATGACATAAGAAGCATTCTAACTGTAACTGGATCAAAATCTAAGATGAAGTGAAAGTTAGAAAATTTTCCCACTTCTAGGTAATCTACGTTTCATTAAAAAAATAATTGTATTCGTTATCCAAGAGCATAACTTTAAAGTGAGTAATATACTTACACAAGGTTCTAAAATAGATTCAGATGATGCTCTCTAATGGCTGTTTCAAATATTTGAGCTTTTGTTAATTTTTTGTCCCAATGTGCCGCTAACCATAAACGAGCTAATGTACCACGTTTTGTTAAGATGGCATGAGTATAAAACATTCTTGTTCACACCCTCTACTATCAACTAAAAATTTCAATTAAAACAACTACAATAAGAATAAATAAAAATTATGAGGTACAAAATGTAATGCTTCACTCTGAATCTTAAGATTCTTGCATTTAATCTTATTATCAAAATCGAATACGAAAGAATTGACCTCATAGTATGAAGATAACATGCGACGTTTGACTATTTTGAACTTTCGCGAAAATATCCGATAATGTCAAAAGTATACGCTACTGAAATCGCGACTTATTTTCGTTTGAATCAAGAATAATTCTATCCACAACTAACATTTTGATCTACGAAGACCTATTCAAAATGACCCGTACTTCTTTTTTCTGAGGGCAAACAGCATTGACCTCAATCAGCAAGTTGGACCTCATAAAAAACAAAATCTTGTCTAAAGCTTTCAGAAAAACTATGTTCAACCAAATTCCCTTGACTTTAGTCTAGGGTCTTATAAAATGGTTGTCTGTGTGTGTGTTTGTGTGTGTGTGTGTGCGCAAAATACGGAAAAATGGCTGTCAGATATTCTATGGATAAGCGAATCACAAGAGACAACAGTAGAAAATTATTTTTTACATAAGAGAGAAAATATTCGAAGAGATCTTCTGAAATATTTACTGATGCAAAGAGGTGAACAGCCCAGCAACCGTTTTCTGTTGGTCGAGGGTAGATGTCGCCAGATAGCAGTCAACTGTGACAATACAAAAAACGTGCTTTACGGGTAATAAAATTGATAGTGTATAGATAATCTATTATAACGAATCGATTAGACATACGTCCAACCTCCTTGGGGTCTGCAGAGGGTGTGCAGAAAACCTTTTAACTTTATATTACATTAGATGGTTTTTTGGTGGGATCGAAGAAGTTCATCGCGTTTCTCATCTATACTGGTTGCGAATGCCGACAGAAGTGAAGCGTTAGCATTGTTTTGAATTCACAAATAGTTTTAGATCTTTTGAGATTTTTGCTTTATTCATATTAGTTTACGAACCTTACACATGAAAACAGAAAAAAATCCAGAAGATGCTTAGGCAGGATTCCAGCGAGCGCCGACCGAAGGGAGGCGTGAGCATCGTTTTTAATTCAGAATTATGTTTAGACCTCTAGAGATTTCTTGACTTATATATTAATATCAGACTACGAACCTTATACATAAAAAATGAATAAAAATCCAGAAGATACCTTAGTTAGGCGCCCAGCGAGCGCCGAAGGAAGGGAGGCGTGAGCATTGTGTTAAATTTAAAAGTCATCAAAGGACGTTCGCTTGCGCAGATCCAACTTAATAAAGTCAAGGGACCGAGCGAGTGGAGACGAGCGTTACCTTGTTTTTTAAATAAATTCGGTTGTCCGTAAATTAAGTAAATAAGTAAAACAGTAAACTTTTTATGATTGGTAGTCCATAAAATACGTGAAAAGAGTCCAAAAAACGATATAATAGGGACAATACTAAAAAAAGGTGACGCAGTCCATGCCATCAGTCCACTGACCATATATTTACTTAATTAATTTAGGGTTGTCCATAAATTCAAGTCTTTGTTTCATAGCCATCTTGACTTATGAGATGTGAATCTTAATGTTGATTTCAAGTCTAACATTGATCACGGTAAAAATCCTTTCGTTTACTAATTTTAATAAATTTTCTATTATTGTAGAGTATGAAGAGCAGAGTATCAACTCAGAGTCAGCGACATCTACGTATTTCAGCAGTTGCATCCAATAATAAACGATGGACTATTGCTTAATATAGCATGGATATTTACGCTATGCTATTGTTTGTCACTAACCAATTAGCCTATCTGTCTGAATCAAATGTTTCGTTTTGTTTTAGCTGAGCTCGGCATGTTCGTACCATGCGAGTACTGTTTGTGAAAACGAGAGGGGAGATATAAATCGGTCTTGCTCTTGCTTGTCGACGCAAGCTTGGAGGATTGAATTGTGTGTTTGGATTAGCTCCAACTGAAGGTCGGCGTCGAATCTATCTTTCTTCTATTCTTCCTAAAGTTGACTATTGCTGTGCCTTTGTATGACAGTTCGTTTTCTCTTACTGTTCTTGATTCTGTAAAGAAACTTGCTTCTCGTGTTATTTCTCGCAATTTTGACTATCTTCTAGTTTTCTACTTGTGTCTCATCACTCTTCGTTGTAAACACTTTAGACTTCTACAGTTTTTCAAAATTTATCATCGTCTAAGTCCTGTTTCTCTTTTTTATACTATTCATCGTCCTCATCACTGATCTTTACGTCTTTATCATTCTAAATATGCTCGTATTCCATCTTCTGTTATGGCTATTCTCCGCAAACGGTGCATTCTTCTTTTTTTTTATTCAACTATTGCTGACTGGAATAATCTCCCAGAGCCAGTTATTTGTCTTTCTTCTTTAACGTCTTTCAAAACAGCTTTATGTCAGTATCTCTTTCAGTGAAACATTTGTCAGTTAAGAATTTATATTTGTTCTTTTTTTACTACTTCTGGTTCTAATCTTAGTTGTCTTATTTATTTTGTTCTTTTTTATTACTCTTCTTGTGTTGTTTGGTTTGAGTCATTTATTACACTTCAGTGACCTTTGATAACTCTCACTTTTTGTGAATAAAACAGTCTTAGTCTTAGTCGTTAGCCTACACGATGGGCTCTGAGATGTTAAATCAAGCGCAGTGTACGATCGTAACAGTACACAAACTGGACATAAAGCGAAGACGTCTGCTAATTAATGAGAATTGTCTTCCGGTGAAACCAGCGTTTTTAATGACAGAGTGTCCACATGTAACAAATTAGATTGATTTTTTTTTCTTTTCAAAAATATTCTCTGGTGTAACGTGTACTGTGTATACTGTGAAATGTAAATTTACACTTTGTTTTACAGCAGAAATATTTGATATTCGTCGAACTAATCTGAAAAATCTTTTTTTGCTTTTGTCTTGTGGAATATTGTACTGCATATAAAAAAAGGTATAGATATGAATTTTTTTTTCCTATGAATAAAACATTGTTTTGTGTGACAAACTTTTACATCGTGATGCTTTACTGTACGGGGTGGAGACGAAAAGGAAATCCATCATAGGAGTCTCATGAGACAAAATTTTTGAAAAACTCACAGATCATGAAGCGAAAGTTCCGTGTATTTCTGATAAGAAACAATTATTGTTGACCTCATCTATCAGTGCGAGGGAAGAAGTCCAAGTTACAAATCGTTTTTCCGATGAAACCAGATGGACTATATGTAATTGATGACGCTGATTCCAAATATGAATATCGAAATTGCCCGTAGGCTTTTGTTGAACGGTTTTCTGAAAACTGGATCTTCAAAAAAACAGGAACCAAATGCAATTATTTTTCTAAATCAGCCATTGTATAGAGGACATAAAATTGTCTATGTTCCATAAGTTTTAGTTTTTCAATATATCGTTGAACGGTGCTATGATTTTTGCAAAGTATCCTACTGCAATATTTTTCCATCAAAACCAGCGTAGCCACCCTTTTGGGAGATTTTCATACGCTATTGATTTTTGTTTTGATAAACTAAAATTTATGGAACATAGACAATTTTGTATCCTCTACAAACTGACCGAATCAGAAAAAAAATTTTCATTTGGTTCCTAGTTTTAAGAGGATGCAGTTTTCAGAAAATCGGTGAACAAAACAGAGATGTCACAATCCCATTACAGTACGTATTCAAAAACAACTAGGCTCAATCCCGTTACGAAACATCGTAGTATTACCGATTCCGTATCCTCCTCTTGTCTCCATCTTCTATATAGTTGAGGGATATGAGGATTTTGAGGGTTTTGCTGTATTACGAAGTTCGGGTTTTATTCGGGTCCTGCCACTAGAATATACTGTTTTGGAACAAAGTCTGACTGGACAGACTGGTTTATCGAAGCACGATTTATAGCAATGTCGATCAGTGTTTTGTGTAGTATGCGCGTGTGGTTGGAACGTTCGCGAGACCGATCTTTAGATTAATGTTTTAAGAGGTTTCGGTAGGCATCAAAAGTCAAAACCCCAGAAAATCTGATAAGTTTCTTTCAGAAAATTTTCGCTTTACCAAACACAGAAGAAAACTCAATGACTGAGTTACGTTTGATTCAATAATATCTTATACGTTTAATTTGTAAGAAAAATTTTCAGTTTTAGAGGTAGGGGAGCGTACTCACCGAAGGACATCGGATCCTGCAGTTTTTCTTACTCGATAGTCACAATCTGACCATATTATTTGATATCGAATAATTGATTCTTTTATAACATGTCTGTTTGTTAACAATAAAACACATAAAAGTTCGAACCGTACATAGCGAGAGATTGTCAGTTATTTCTAGCGAATCTCAAAAGGCGAGGAAAAAATCGTTAATTCCTTTCAGCTGAAGGTTTTCATCCGGCGAAGTAAATGTTAATCTAAATTTTGCAAAGTTCTAAAACTTTTTGTCATTATTTTTGCACTATTGCTTGTTCTTCGATCTAATAGTAATGTGACTGATAAATATTAATTTTAGATGGCTGCACCTCTGCCGTTAGAAACATTTCAGTTCATGTTTGATGAAAATACAAAAGTAAAAGTTATAGTGCTCACAACGGAAAAGTTCATCTGCGGTACATATATCGTATTTTCCCTAATGCGATTGAGTCAGTCGTTTCATCCACAAAAATCTTTGCTAAAATGACTGAATCAGTCATTTGAACCGTCTTATTCAGCAATTCAGTCACTTCACTTTTCTGACAGTGTCATAGAAATACTTAGAAAAAGCACCCAGCCCTCACATTTTTTCTAATCTGTACTGGTTAAATCTATCACGGTGACGCATTTACCTAGCACTAAATACACTTAAGTCAATTTTTTAACTTAAGTGCTAAGTCACACTTAAGTTACGCTTTATAAAACGCAGTTAAGGCAAAACTTAAGTTTTACTTAAGTGTGTCTTAACGCCTACTTAGTTTTTCACTTAAGTCGAACTTAAGCTTTTTTATAAAAGTGGCTCCAGAACGCAAAAAGATTTTGCAATACCCTAGACTAAAGTCAAGGGAACTAGAGAGACTTTTGACTCAGAATTCAATAAGTTCGATTTGAGCAAGGCGGAATAGACGTATAATGACAGAATTTAATTAGTGCATAGTCAGTAATTTTTTCTTGAAGCCTCAGAACGCAAGAGAAATCTTTCCTTTTCTATTTTGAAAGTGAGAATTATATTCTGTATACCGAAATATAGTCTGTATTCACGCCTCCCTTCCGTCGGCGTTCGCACTCAGGATAGCTGAGAAACGTTGTGAACTTCTCTATTTCCACCAAAAAAGCGCACAATGTAATATAAGGCTAAAACCTTTTCGGGACACTCTCGGAAGATCACAAGGGGGTTCAAAGTATCCCTAATCGACTCACAATGACAGACTATCTGTATTTTGTACGTTTTATTCTCCGTACAGCACTTTTCTGTTTTCAAAAATGACTGATTTCTTCCGACATCTGTCTCCAAACTACAAGAGAACGTTTGCTTAGGCTTTTTTCTCTCTGTCTCAGTAAACATTATTTCAGCTATCTCTTTGAATATTTTTTCACTTGTGTAAAAAACCATTTTTTATTCTTCTCTCTTCTGATAAAAAAAAGATGATGACGACCCTTTTACTCTACGACTTTATATCTTGTCAAACACATCAGTGATGAATGTGGATTCATGAATGACAGATTATCGCACGTTATAGTAAGAAGTACGTAATACCCCTTTCCAAGTTCCACAGTTTCTCTTTTTCTGATTTGAGTTTATACGTTTATAGTTTTCCAATAGCTTTACAAGAGAACAGTTTATTGTACTTCCATATGGAACAAAAAAGCGTGTGTTAATGCAAAGAGTACACAATGTTCTAGTCGACATTGTTATTGGTGGTTATGCACTATTCTTCCATAATTATGAACGTTTAACAACGGATATTGATCTTTTGGTATCAAGTGATGATTTTAGTCAAATATGTAGTGTAAGTTTGGGGTTATGTTAAATATTGAAGTTTACTGTTAGGAATTATTACAAATTTAACGACAGACTGAAGCCGTGAGATCGATGGATGGCAGATTTGTCGTTTCTTAAACTCACATCTATCCTTTTTGATTTGATTTTCTAATTACAGAATTGTATGTGGTCAAAGGTACGTGTAGAACACGCAAAAGGAAGAGCTGTCAATTATCGCCATCCTTCATCATGTCAAGCTTGATACAAAGGAAATGCCGATGAGTAAGTGTTCGAAAATTTTTTACAGTATGAAATGTTATTCATTTATCAAATATTTGATCCGTTCACTGAGTCACCGCGAGATTACGATTCATATAGTCGTCGTTCAAATCGAAATGACAATTATAATAATGATGTGGATAATTATCGAGATCACGATCGGGATATGATTGTGATGAAATAGATACAGATAAACGGCATAGGTAGATTGAATCAGGAAATTTTTCCTGTATCTTTTTAATTTTTTGATTTTAGACGTCGTGATCGTCAACATCGTTCATCGTCGAAACGATCAAGATCACGTGACAGGTATTTTTTTTATTTTTTGATAGATAGGGTATTGTTGAATAAGAAGATTCAAATTTCTTACTCGAATGATATCTTGATGATCTACTTCTCTCGACATCTCTCATCCTTCATTTATATTAAATTTTGCATAAATTCTAAAACTTTTTGTCATTATTTTTGCACTATTGCCTGTTCTTCGATCTAATAGTAATGTGACTGATAAATATTAATTTTAGATGGCTGCACCTCTGCCGTTAGAAACATTTCAGTTCATGTTTGATGAAAATACAAAAGTAAAAGTTATAGTGCTCACAACGGAAAAGTTCATTCAATCGCGTGGAATGTGTATGGTAGTCGATTGGGGAGTGGTTCTATTGACAAAAGTGGATACATATTTATTAAAGACTCAATGGCATGAATGGAAAATAAGAATCAGTTTATTTATTTATCATATATATTTGTGTAAAGATAAAGGAACACTTCTATCGTGAACATACAGAAGAAGTTGATCAGTTATCATGACCTCCAATTTTACCCAGTGAAGTAGCAACAGCCAGCGGTGACAGATTAGTGAAAATATTTGATACAAGAACAGATAGATCGATAAGCACAACTGAAACGAAAGGTGAAAATATAAATATTGCATGGTCACAAGATGGAAACATGCTATCAGTGGGAAACAAAGACGATTTGATTACATTTATACATACGAGAACGTCAAAATTAGGGTCAAACATCGATCGAATATGAATATGGATGTATATTTTAAACACAATAACTAATTTAAAAGATTCACAATCACAAATATTTTGTATTTTTTTCTATATTTCTATAAAACATAGATATTTATATTGTGTATGTATCTTCACGCATTTTGAGATAAATTAAACGTTTTTCTGAATATATTTTGTTATCCAAACGTGCATCACATCTGGTGTAAGTATTTGCTTAATTGTTATTTTTTGCAGCGAAATACTTTCGTTAGTATTTGAGGGGCATATAGATGTATGTTTGTTTGATTTATTTGTTGTATCTATTGGAACTTATAGAAAGAAAGAGAAAAACATTAGGAGTGGTATACGATAACAATCTTTCTATGAATAGTTTTTTATGTCTAACTCCTGATTTTTCTTTTATTCATTTGTGAATTGCTGGATTCTATTTACATGGAGGATATTGTGCATCGTCAACATAATCTCAATGAACAGAATCCCGATGACAATGGGAAGAGTTCTTTTTTGCATCAGATATTGTTTTGTTTGTTTGCACTGAGTAACGGAAACTTTGTTTTCAAATGGAAGGTACTACATACCAATGAAGAAACAATATATATAGGAGTTTTATCTTCTTGTCTTGTTTAACCTACATAGACGTACCCTCTTAGATAAAGAGCAGACGTCCATAAGAAAACTTTATTCCTCTTTCTTGAATTGGTATGTTATTGCTCTATGTAAAAAAGCTTTGCTACGCTTGGTATTAATGGTGTATTTTTGTGTGTAACTGTAGAACGCACTCTGCCTCTTCGCGTTTACAGCACAGCAAGAAATGAATTAGGGAAGAGAAATCTTAACACTCATAACTGAACATCATCTTGAGCAAAATTTTGCTCAGAATTTACCCGAGCATGTCAGAAAGACATTTCAGAAAATACATGCTGAATATTTTTAGAGTTTTTTGTTTTCTGTCGTTTGTTTTTTGTTGG